CCCCCCCCCCCCCCCCCGGCAGTAATTACTCTTATTATTTAGAAGGTAACAAATTCCAAAATATTAAGCTGTATATCACACTGCAGTCCTGTCATGCATACAGAATCAGGTATATAAATTTAAATCTGTAAACTGGTGCATAATTGTGGGCAAACTCATTAGTCAAGAGAGCCAAATATCAACAGTACAACGATTGAAATTTATTTTGAGAGCCAAATTTTTTAAACTTAAACTATGTAGGTAGGTACATTGTTATTAACTTAATTAGGGTACTCCTCATGGAAACATCTTCAGACAGCGCTGGCTCTTCGGCTTTGAAACGGAGATGAGCACCGCAACCCTAGAGTCTGATTCGACTGGCTTTCGAGCAAGGGAACCTTTACCTTTAAACTGGCCTTTGCTAAAAATGTCCTCAATCTGATTGAGGTACGTTCGCTGAGGTCGACCCCTTCCAACTCTCCCATCCACACTTGTCTTGTATACTTGTTTCATCTCCTTTCGTTTGTCCTCTCTATATGTCCAAAGTATCCATAAAATTAAATCATGAAAAAATAAATCATGACAAACACTAATGTGAACAATGGCCTTGCATCTCCTTGGAAAGTTTGGGTAAGTCAGGTTTGTATGTTGTTGTTTTTAATTTTAGGCACGCACTAGAGAGCATCAATATGTATGGCCTCGCTGGACCAGATTCAAGGTTCTTAGCTAGCAGCTAGCATTCTGTTCCCAACTGCAGCCTTCCAGAGGCCTCTGGAAGCTCAAAGAGCTGTTTGCCCTTACCCCATTCTCTCAACAGCATTTCATATTAAGAGGTTCAGTGTCCCTGAACGCAAGCTTGATTAAGTTTACAATATATTTCATCTCTACGGGTTCCCCCCCCCCCAAACTTCCCACTCACATCTTGTGGCAGTGGCTTTCACAAGTTAATTGGGCGGGGGGGGGGCAGTTTTCAGAGGCTCGCAACAGTCATCCTTCCTACCCAGCTCAGCTGTTTCAAGCACGCAACACCGAAAACAGAGTCAACAAAAAGTGGCCACTCAAAGTTCCCTCTAAGCTGAGTTAGTGTGGGCTAGCTCACAGTTTTTTAGCCTCCGTCTCACACACTTTTGTCTTAGCTCAGGAAGGATGGCTCCAGAGCAAACTCATTTATGCAGTAGTAGCCAAATCGCTCGCTCACAGCTTTCATGCCAGGAGCTCACGAAGTAGAATCTTTGCTCACAGGGCTCCACAGCTTGGAGGGAGCACTGAAACACCACAATGGGCAAGTAGTCTTGCAGAGTTGCACAGGACACCTCCAAGTAAATATGGGTGGGTTGTTTTAAAGGGGCATCCATCCACACTAAATCTTTGGAAGCACATTGCAATAAAGCCCCTA